ATATCTGGACATTTAACACTTATTTAATAACATTACAGACTGAATAAACAGGGTATGTGCAACTTTGGTGTATAAGACAGCAGGCTAACCGGGTAGCTGTATTTTGTGCGAGCGATATAAATCATAATGTGATTTTGTAGAAATTGTAATCAGGTAAGATGCTTTTGTGTGAGCATTTGGGGAAATATTTATGCTTTTTTTTAATTTATGAATTGTGTTTTGAATTTACTAATCGGATTTTGTCAATGTAAATTGTCCTGTGCATTTATGAATTTTGTTTTGCAAATGTATTATTTTTGAGGCTGATCTGGCTCCATAGTGCAAACCTTGCCGCTACCCACTGGAAGAAAAAAAAATCGGTAGAAAAGGTACTGGTAATTTTCTAAATTTTAGTTCAGATATTTCCATTAATACTAAAATACAACATGATACAATGCGTACTTCAAAATAAGGAGAAAAAGCTGAAAAGTTCTTCATATTGGATCCTACTTTACAGTCTTTCTTGTTTTTGATGCCAGGGCATTGCTGTGCTGTTTCTAATGTGTTCTGAGAGTTTTAGTGTGTTGCTATGGGGTTGCTAGGGTCACCTAGGTGGTCGCCCAAGTAAAATGGACCCAGAAATCTGAATCTTCTAAATGCAGCTTGAAAGCACCTTCCTTAAAAAGCATCTGGCAAGAACACTTAAATTGCCATTTTTACGGTGGCCGAGAAGTGCAAAACAAATCACAATTCTGAAAACAAAATAACAAATTACAAACGCAAGTCTAAAAAACTAAATAACAAGTCAGAAAACACAACGATAAATCCGAAAACAAATTAACAAGTCAGAAAACACAATGACAAATCAGACAAACCGGAAGAGCTAGGTATAGGTTGAGACCGCGCCATTGGTTTGGGATTACTCACCGCTGACTGGACGAGACATCTGTCAATCAACGTATACAGGAAGAACCAGCCGAAGAACAGCAGAGTCCTGGTAGAAAGTTCGGAGATGGTATTAAAGTAGCTCAGTTTAAATGTATTGTATGAATTGCCCTTACTATGAAAAAAAAGTTAAAAGTTTAAAGTTATTAAAAGTGGCTGTATATCATCAGCTCCAGTGGTGCAGATGGATAAGTGTGTGTCATTGGCTTTTTGACGCGATCGACCCAGGTTCGATCCCACCTTTTGCCAAACTTTTTTTTCCTCCCTTTTCAAAACCCATAGTAAGGAAAATTCATACAATACATTTAAACTGAGCTACTTTAATACCATCTCCGAACTTTCTACCAGGACTCTGCTGTTCTTCGGCTGGTTCTTCCTGTATAAGTTGATTGACAGATGTCTCGTCCAGTCAGCGCTGAGCAATCCCAAACCAATGGCGCGGTCTCAACCTATACCTACCTCTTCCGGTTTGTCTGATTTGTCGTTGTGTTTTCTGACTTATTTTGTTTTCGAATTTGTCATTGTGTTTTCTGACTTGTTATAATGTTTTCTGGATTGTTGTTGTGCTTTCTGAATTGTTATTTTGTTTTTTAGACTTGCATTTGCGTTTGTAATTTTGTTTTCAGAATTGTGATTTGTTTTGCACTTCTCGGCCACCGTACATTTTCCATTAATATCATAGACCTCTGTAATGTTTCCATCCTCAAGAGATTTATCGCCTCCACTTATCGAGATTACAGTCACCTCTGACTATAAGCAGTGCGACCATCTGCCTTCGCTTCTGCTGCCAGCTCACCACAGGCCTTCACACACTGGCTGTCGATATGGTAGCTGACCTCACTAGGCCTTCGGCATGCCTGGCTTTCTCTCGCGCGGTTCTCTGAGCAGTCAGCAGATATTTAATGCAAAACATAAGAAATCTGTAGTCTACATCATCCTGTTTCTTCCCCAAGTGTCCACCGATTCTGAACGCGGTAAAGAACCCTTGTTAATTTGCAAATTGGATCCCGGTAAAATAGCGTTAATATGGTTGCGGTTATCTTTGTAGTTACCATTCTGGCCTTAAAGGAATAGTTCACCCAAAAGTTAAAGTTTGCTGTAAATGTACTCTCCCTCAGGCCATCCAAGATGTTGAGTTTGTTTATTCATGGGAGCAGATTTGGAGAAATGTAGCATTTTACATCACTTGTTCACCAATAGATCCTCTGCAGTGAATGGGTGCCGTCAGAATGAGAGTCCAAACAGCTGATAAAAACATCACAATAATCCACACCACTCCAGTCCCTCAGTTAATGTCTTGTGAAGTGAAAAGCTGTGTGTTTGTAAGAAAAAAAAGTCCATCAGCTGTTCTAACTTTAAACCGTCGCTTTTTTGTCAAAAACAAAATCCATAATAACGCTTCTTCCAGTGAAAAAGTCCAGCCTCTGTTGTCCTCTCACATCAAAACTTTTTTGGACTTTATCTGTGCATATTTCTCTCCTGAGTCACACAAGATTTTTTTCACTAGAGGATGCAATATTGATAGACGACTCATATTTTAGCTGGAAAAACAGTTTGAAGTTAAAAAGGGATGGATTTATTACAAACGCACAGCTTTTCATTTCAGTAGGCGTTAATTGATGGACTTTATTAGATGTGTGAATTATTGTGATGTTTTTATCAGCTGTTTGGACTCTCATTCTGACGGCACCCATTCACTGCAGAGGATCCATTGGTGAGCAAATGATGTAAATTCCCCGGATCTGTTCTGAAACAAACTCATCTACATCTTGGATGGACTGAGGGTGAACTATTCCTTTAAACCAAGAGAGTTTAATCCCCCTATAGTTCACAATTTACAACTCAGTTCAGTTCAGTGAAAACAATCCCTGTTTAAATGAACAAAGCATTTGAAGTTGAAAACCAGCTTATGGGTGTATATTAGAGATACATGGAGGCGCAAGTCAGAGTAACAAAATGACATTCAACAATACAGTTTGTAGTTAAATACTCCAAGTGCTTTTTTATAGATCATAAGCAGTAACAGCATGAGCAAAACACAATCACTATTACACAAAGATAACCTCTCTGTAAATATCTGAAAACACAAATCTCAGATGTGTCAGTTTGTGGGTATCTACAGGAGAAGGGGCAAAACGCAAAGCAAAAACACCAAGTCCTAACCAAACAACCGAGATGCGACAAGCAGTTTAAAAACACAATCACAGCAACGCAGAACATATTTGCAACTATGTGGCGCAGGATTTTAGACCAATCAGATTTTACAGTGGGTGGGGCTAAACAAAATTCTAATTAAAATTGAATTTTTTTCACACATTATGACTGGTTAGGACGTTATTCTTATAATGTTTGAATTTAAAGGAATGTCAACCTGCCTCCAATCAATCAACAGATCTGTAAAACATCCCATGTTACAGGCCTTCAAATATATACATTGTTTTTACATACACATTTCCAGTTGAAAAGATATTTCCCTTTAGTATGATTAATAATTGAAAAATATTGGATCATAAAATCTTATATTCTTTCAGTGTCACACAAGAAGTCACTGAGATCTGACACTGACATGAAGAGAAACGAATAATCGAATTCTTTTAAAATAATCCCAAATATGCTGTTTCATGTTGTCAATTCTAGAATACCTTGATGACTTATTACGAACATCTTACAAAGATGCATACAAATAAGGCTCAATCATTCGCTTAGGATTCCCCTCTTATAAATGTTCATTTCAATTAAAAAAGGGAAAGTAATTCAGTCAAGCCCATGCACGAAATCTACCCAAACGTCACTGTAAATAGTTTTTCAGGCAATCTGTGAGCTCTTGATGTGATTTGTACAATAAGACTTACACTATCGTTCAAGAGTTTGGAGTCTGTAAGATTTTTAAATGTTTTGAAGTCCTTTATGCTCTCCCAGACTGTATTTATTTAATCAAATTATTTGATGTTTTCTATTTTAATATATTTTAAAATGTAATTTATTCCTGTGATGCAAAGCTTAATTTACAGCATCACTACTCCAGTGTCACATGATCATTTAGAAATCATTCTAATATGCTGATTTGCTGCTCAAGAAACATTTATTATTATTTTTAATGTTGAAACCGTTTGTGCTGCTTCATATTTTGTGGAAATAGCGATATTTTTTCACAATTCTTTGACTAGAAAGTTCAAAAGGACAGCATTTATTTAAAAAGAGAAAACTTTTAATCAATTTTATTCTTTCTAATTCATTCTGCATAAAAGTATTCATTCCTATAAAAAAAATAAATCTTACTGACCCCAAATTCTTGAACAGCAGTATATATGGCATGGATATGAAAATCCAGAAGAAGTCCTGCAAATGTGTGCACAAACAATACTTCAATAGTGCAGCCAATTATAATATATTGAGCTTGAATATGAGTTAAACTTTTACATGAATACAGGGGGGAAACATCAAGCACTAACAATGGGGGAACTTTTCTGAGAGCTAAAGTGTGCTACGCTGCATTCACAAAAAAGTACTTTACAGATTACATCCTCAAAAATCAGTAAATGGCACAATCCAATATTGATTTCTCGAAACGATTTTCAGTATTTGATTCGCAATTGCAACGCAACGTGCTAAACTTATTTAACTTCCGTCTCCCAGAATATAAATCTTGCAGCTTTATTATTTATTTGAGACGTATTTAATAGTAAACTATTCTTCACTCTAACCAGTTTTAATAAATAAAGCCATCCACTTCATTGCAATATATTAGTTAAGCTATGATTATGAAAAGAAATCTTTAACATAACCAACTTTTCATTGAGAATTTGCAGTCATATCCTGCTCATCCTCTCTTTCCACACAAAACCTCCCAGCCCTACAAGCAAATAAAACTCAGCCCACATGGCTTCTTCCCATGACCCGATGCATTAAACCTTATGACAACGGTCAGCGTGGGATTGATAAACCAGAGGGCTCTTGTGTCGCAGACATGTGGTCTTTGTCGAAATATACATACAGTAAATGATTAAAACTAAGTCTATTTTAAACTGCTTTTGAAATCTGAGTGGCTGGATTTGAGGCTGAAGGCCATTTGGATCTGTCAAAAAAAACTAAAATAAAACTAATTACCGTCGCATTAAGGATTTGCGTCAAACGTTTTACGTTTTGGACATTCACCTGCTCAGGAAACAAAAGCCCACCAACAATCACAGTGATCTCACTCCCGAAAACAACTAAATAAAGGCATAGCTGACCGCAAAATTCCCTTTCACGAATCGTTTGTGTCAGTATATGGTATCTACAAGGACTATAAATAAAATAAACAGTTTAGATGACATGAAGCTAGGAATCCTGCTGGTCTGCGTGCTGCTGACTGCTTGGGGGTGTGTCTGTGGAAGCCCCACCCACTTCCTGTCTATCAACGCCAAGGCCCAACCCCTCATCCATTTGTTCCAGTTCGCTTTGGTCCAGAAGCTCAAAGTCCTCTTCCTCGGTGGGTACGAGCGTGACATCCGGTTGCTCTTCGGTGCTTGCGACGTCGACGTCCTCTTCTTCTGCGCTGGCTTCCAGGGTGGAAGGCGACTCGAGGGGCGTTTCCATCGGGCAAGGAGGCGTTTCGGTGGGAAGAAACGAAGCCATTGACGAGCCCTCGCTGGCCTCGCTAGACCGCAACAGGGCTGAGAGAGTGTTCTGTACTACGGTAGAGATGGCCGTGCTCACTATCTCCTCGCTGAGGGCTTCCAGGGACCGAGCGGGTCTCGAAACGCCGGCAGCCGATCCCCCTCCCTCTTTTTCAGTACCCACAATGCTTTGGTCCGCCCCCACCGCTTGTCCGTGTCCATTGAAGTGCGTGTTGACAAAGTGGAGCGGAGATGCTAAGTGCTGGATGAGGAGGCTGGCCGGAGACAGCGGCTCCTCCTGGAGCTCGGATCCGGACGCTCCTGTCTGCTCAGACCCGAGAACGCCCAGCGGGAAATGGAACAGACCCGGTTCAATAGAAGGCAGCTCGTCCACCGACGGGAACTCTGCTAGGTCTCTAGAAAACGCCTCCTCTGGTTCACTGTGCACGCTCTGCTGATCCAGGTCTGCTGATGAAAACACAGGCATTTTTGGAGTAAAAATAAAGTAGAAGGGAAAGGCTTTTTCAATGATGAAATAATCGGAGTGTCTATTTACACTAAGTACAAACAGCCCACCTTATTGGGGGATTTCTGTTTCAAATAAATGTTGTTCTTCTAAACTTTCTCTCTTCATCAAAGAAGAAAAAATAAATAAATGAAGCAGCACAACTGTTTTCAAAATTGATAATCAGAAATGTTTCATGAGCAGCAAATTTTAAGACTGCTGATAAATGAGCTTTGCAGGAAAAAGGAGCTCAGAGGAATTCATTTCATTTTAAAATGTATTCAAATAGAAAACAGTTACTTTAAACTGTAATATTAATGTTACAGTTTTTACTGTATTTTTGATCAAATAAATGCAGACTTGGTAAGTATAAAAGACTTAAATATATAAAAAAAACATTACAAAAAAAATTATAGACCCCATGTAAATAATGTCTGTTGAATGTTTGTTGTCTGTGGTACTGATCCACTTCTTTTAATAAGTCTGACTAAACTACAATTTTATAAAAAAAAATTCAATTTGAGGACCTTCAGAGACGTCTGTGAGCTGTGGTGTGGTGGCTCTGGACACAGAGAATCCTCCACTCTCCAGTATAGATGCCTCCTCATCGGACAGCTCAGAGTCTGTGATGGCCATCGCCAGAGCCGTAGTCTTCACATCCACCTGATCACAGAACAAACCAATCAGTGACTGGAATTACACTACTGTTGGTTTTCAAAATTGATAATAATCAGAAATGTTTCATGAGCAGCAAATTTTAAGACTGCTGATAAATGAGCTTTGCAGGAAAAAGGAGCTCAGAGGAATTCATTTCATTTTAAAATGTATTCAAATAGAAAAGTTACTTTAAACTGTAATATTAATGTTACAGTTTTTACTGTATTTTTGATAAAATAAATGCAGACTTGGTAAGTATAAAAGACTTAAATATATAAAAAAAACATTACAAAAAAAATTATAGACCCCATGTAAATAATGTCTGTTGAATGTTTGTTGTCTGTGGTACTGATCCACTTCTTTTAATAAGTGTGACTAAACTACAATTTTATAAAAAAAAATTCAATTTGAGGACCTTCAGAGACGTCTGTGAGCTGTGGTGTGGTGGCTCTGGACACAGAGAATCCTCCACTCTCCAGTATAGATGCCTCCTCATCGGACAGCTCAGAGTCTGTGATGGCCATCGCCAGAGCCGTAGTCTTCACATCCACCTGATCACAGAACAAACCAATCAGTGACTGGAATTACACTACTGTTCACTAAGATTGTTTTGGAAAGAAATTAATACTTTTATTCAACAAGGATGCATTAAATTGATCAAAAGTGAAAGACATTTAAAATGTTACAAAAGATTTCTTTTTCAAATAAATTCAAGTATCAAAAACATTAAGCTGCACAACTGCTTTCATCATTGATAATAATGATAAATGTTTCTTGAGCAGCAAATCAGCATATTAGAATGATTTCTGAAGGATCATGTGACACTGAAGACTGGAGTAATGTTTAAATATAGAATACAGCCCCTGTAAGATGGGACACACCCCTCACCACCAAACATGAGACTAACCCCCCTGTATCAGGACACTCACAGTAGGGGCGAAACATGACAGCTCCTCCTCGCTCTCGCTCTCTGTCTCTGCCCTCGGCTCATCACCCTCTTCCTGCTCCTTTTTCAGCTCTGGACACACACACACACACACTTCTCCTGAGCACAGTCTAACAGAAAGTGACACACTAACAACCTGGTTTGCAAAGAGTCTTTTACTGTGATATCGGCAGAAAGAGTTTTTATTGTTATTATTAGTCCAATATTGGATGCAGATAATATTAGGGATTATTTATTCAGGTTCAAGCAGTAAACTTGTGCCAGGTTTCTGTAAAACAATTTTTTTTACTTTATCTAAAATGTCTTGACACCTGATTTCACTTTAAGCATGAACATAGTGGCAAAAAATATCAGACATATCAGATTTATTATCAGCCATTATATAATTGTCTATAAAATAAAATGACTGGTATAAAATCTGTATATATAAGATTACATTTAACACTAACGTAAAACAACAATATTGTGTTTATTTTGGGTTTTGAAAAATTGAAAAGTTAGGTTAGCAAGCTAGGACAGTCAATAAAGGCAACGCTCTCACTTCTCTTGTCGTATTTGCGGTGCTGTGTGTCTCCTTTCATGCTGTAGTCGAGTTTCATCAGTATGGGCTCCAGTCCGGTGTACATTTTCTGGATCAGCTCATGGTAAACCACCAGCGGCCACAGCAGCACACTCAGCACTAATGCAGGACAGAGAAAAACACTACTAACCTCTGCATCCAGTACTATTCAAAGGTTTGGAGTCAGTAAGAGTTACTTTTTAGAAGAAATTATACTTTTACCCAACAAGGACGCATTCAATTGATCAAAAGTGACGCATAATGTTACAAAAGATGTCTATTTCAAATAAACGCCGTTCTTTTGAACTTCATATTTTTCAAAGAATCCTGGAAAATGAAATGTATCAACTATTTTAAACATTGATAACTATAAGAAATGTTTCTTGAGCAGCAAATCAGCATATTAGAATGATTTCTGAAGATCATGTGACACTGAAGACTGGAGTAATGATGCTGAAAATTTAGCATTGCATCACAGTATTAAATTACATTTTAAAATATATTTATGAAGAAAAGTTATTTTAAATTGTAATAATATTTCACAGTATTACTGTTTTTACTGTATATTTGATCCAATAAATGCATCCTTGGTGAGCATAAGAAGCTTTAATAGAACTCTAAAATAACTCTTGACACCAAAAATAATAAATAAATAATAATAACTACATTTAAATAAAAAAACATTAAACATCTTAATAATCCTAAAGAAGCCCTGTTTTTCTTCATTCAAATTGTCTTGATTTCAAATCTTTTTGATTTTATGGTAAAATATGACCTGGATAGGTTCCCTGTCTTTTTTAATTAAATTCACTCAAAAGGACAACAGAAATGACACTTTTTGACACCACTTTGAATTGTTGTAGTATTTAGTATAAATACATTTCTGTATTTAAATGTGCCTGCATTTTTTTTTTACCCAGCCAAACAGAAATGCTGGGAATATATTTTTCCTCTCTGGAGTGATATATATTTATCTCGTTATTTTGCTTCTTTAATTCATAGCAATGCGAGTGTTATGTAAGTGCAGAGGTGGACTTGAAAAGCTGTGTGTTGTGCAATTTGAGTAGCTGGTGCAAAAGGCGAGCAGTGTGTGTAAAAAGAATATATGGAAATAAACAGGTTTGCTCACATATGATGTAGGAGATCATTATCCCGGGAATGTAATGTCCAACCCCGGCCAGGATGAAACATCCTGAACACATCATGATGCAGAACTGATGAGGAGAAACAGAACGATTGATCAGTAAACACTTTCTGGACAGAAAACTCGTTATTTTGCTTCTTTAATTCATAGCAATGTGAGTGTTATGTAAGTGCAGAGGTGGACTTGAAAAGCTGTGTGTTGTGCAATTTGAGTAGCTGGTGCAAAAGGCGAGCAGTGTGTGTAAAAAGAATATATGGAAATAAACAGGTTTGCTCACATATGATGTAGGAGATCATTATCCCGGGAATGTAATGTCCAACCCCGGCCAGGATGAAACATCCTGAACACATCATGATGCAGAACTGATGAGGAGAAACAGAACGATTGATCAGTAAACACTTTCTGGACAGAAAATGTTTGGGGTTGGTAAGATTTTTAAATCTAAGTCTCTTCTGCTCACCAAGGCTGCAGTTATTGTCTGAATACTTTCCGTACCCACTGTAAATAAAGGTGACTTGACTTGACTTGACAGAAAATGTTTGGGGTCAGAAAGATTTCTTTTTTAATTAAGTCTCTTAAGCTCACCAAGGCTGCATTTATTTGATCAAAAATACAACCAAAACGGTCATATTGTGAAATATTGTTACAATATCATGTTGTTTTTTTCCAGTGATGGAAAAGCTGAATTTTCATAATCATTACTCCAGTTTTCAGTGTCACATGCTCCGTCAGAAATCATTCTAATATGATGATTTGCTCAAGAAACACTTATTATTAATAATGTTGAAAACAGATGTGCTGCTTAATATTACTGTGGGAAACATGATACATTTTTTTATTTCAGGATTCTTTGATAAATAGAAAGTTTAAAAGAACTAAATTTAACACTGATCAAATCAATGTTTTCACTGTCACTTTTAATCAATAATGTATCCTTGCTGAACAAAAGTATTAATTCAGTAAACACTTTCTGGACAGAAAATGTTTGGGGTCAGAAAGATTTTTTTTTTTAATTAAGTCTCTTAAGCTCACCAAGGCTGCATTTATTTGATCAAAAATACAACCAAAACGGTCATATTGTGAAATATTGTTACAATATCATGTTGTTTTTTTCCAGTGATGGAAAAGCTGAATTTTCATAATCATTACTCCAGTTTTCAGTGTCACATGCTCCGTCAGAAATCATTCTAATATGATGATTTGCTCAAGAAACACTTATTATTAATAATGTTGAAAACAGATGTGCTGCTTAATATTACTGTGGGAAACATGATACATTTTTTTATTTCAGGATTCTTTGATAAATAGAAAGTTTAAAAGAACTAAATTTAACACTGATCAAATCAATGTTTTCACTGTCACTTTTAATCAATAATGTATCCTTGCTGAACAAAAGTATTAATTTCATAAAAAAAATTTAATTTACCTTACTGACCCCAAACTTTTGAGAAATAGAAAACATTTAAATTCCAAATAATATTTTCTTTTTTCTTTCAGACTGATCAAATCAATGTTTTCACTGTCACTTTTAATCAATAATGTATCCTTGCTGAACAAAAGTATTAATTTCATAAAAAAATAAAATGTACTAAATTTACCTTACTGACCCCAAACTTTTGAGAAATAGAAAACATTTAAATTCCAAATAATATTTTCTTTTTTCTTTCAGACAAAAAGGAAGAAAGTAAGTCATGCAGGTTTTGAATGACATGAGGTTGAATAAAGACAGAATTATCATTTTGGTGTTATTCTGAGACACACTTTTTAAATATATTTAGCTGAAAGAATCTCTCTCCTCACCTTGCCGTGGTTTTGCCGTTTGTACTGAAGCATTTCTTGGATGCAAAGGCTGAAGGTGAGGTAACTCTCGGCGAGATGGTGGCTGAGCTCCTCGACGCTTAACAGACGTGGCTGATCAGTCAGCGCTTCTCTGTACAGTCAGGACAGATTTCAACTCATTTCATAAGGAGACAAACTTAGGATACAGCATAAACAATCCTGAAAGTGAGCAGTGCAAACACATAAGAGATGGGGCTGCTGTTGAGACACATACCGCTCAACGACAGACGCCTCAGGATGCCACACTGTAGAGAACACAGGAGCAAACAGTGAGCGACAGTGAACGAATGGGCCCCCGTTCAAGAAATTCTCAGGAAATATTAAAAATACAACAGGATGATAAAATTAAGATGAACCATAAATCGATCCCTCCTTGTTTTGTGACAACACAGACATGTTTCACAATAACGGTGTCTCTAATTTGAACTTTTTTATGTTTTTGAAAGAAGTCTCTTCTGCTCACCAAGGCTACATTTATTTAATGAAAAGCACAATAAAAACAGTAATATTCTGAAATATGTTTAGACAGTAATACTATTGTGAAATAATTATATTTATGTGTTAATTCAAGATCTGTTCACAAAAGTTCATGGTAATACCACAGGAAATGTCCAAAAACATACCATAATCATACACCATGGTATTTACCCCTTACAAAAAAAAGTACCTAGGTATGGCCATGTTTTGGCTATCGATATATCAGTGTATTCTTAAATCATGGAGTAGTACTATGGTATATATCAAAGTACCATGGTATTTCTGTCTGTAACGTTACCTGCCATAGTACTTTTTGTCACGGTATGGCACAGCAATCATATTGTAGTATTATGGTATGTAACGTTACGTCCAAAAACCCAAAGTGATACCATGGTATTTCGATGTTTACGACGGTAAATTATCATTACCATGGTATTTACAGGGTCGCCCAAGAACCATAGCACATGTCCGAAACACAGTAACTTACCAGTAATACTAAGAGTATTATTCGGTAAGAGTAGCGAAGCTGCCACAAAAGCAACGCGGGAGAACTTCGACCTGAGGCGGCTACTAACGAGCAGATTAACCAGATGATTAACGAACGAACGAACGAACGCACTGGTCAGGATTAACACCGTCTCTTCCAAACGAACAGATGTATTGGCTCGGGTCTCACCAGAACAGCGTGTTGAGCGCCAGCGCGGCGATGATGCTGTGAAGCGGCCTCTCCCACACCAGCAGCCGCTGCGCGCAGAGCACCGCGGGCTCACACTGCGACAGCCAGCCGCGCAGACGCTCCCGCAGCCGCCGCAGCTCCGGCGCATCCTCGCCGCCGCCGGGCGCGGGGAACCAGGCCTCCAGATCCGCCGAGGACACCGAGGCCCGTCTGCTCGCCATTCTCACTTGTCCAGCGTTGTTTGTGTGTGTTGGTGACGGGGTTTGGTCAGGAGACGCTGGTCATGGATTATTAGAAAAAACAGAAGCACACCGCGGATTTTACAGGCTCTCACAGAGTCACGTGCTCAGTGTTTACTGGGCCCTTGGGGGACATCTGCTGGCTGCGCCACAAACACACGCTTATACTATTAAACTTGACATTTATTTGATTTAACCAATATTATTTATTTTTATTGACATATTTATATGAACAATTTCGTGCTGGGCAATCCAAAATAAAAGTTTTTGTTTATATAATGTGTGACCCTGGAGCACAAATCCAGTCATGAGGGTCGATTTGTTTTTCTAAATTGAGATGTATACATCATCTGAAAGCTGAATAAATTTGCTTTACATAAAATAGCTTTCCATTGATGTATGGTTTGTTAGGATAGGACAATATTTGGTCGAGATACAACTGTTAGAAAATCTGGAATCTGAGGGTGCAAAAAAACCCCATCAAAATATTGAGAAAATCATCTTTAAAGTTGTCCAAATGAAGTTCTTAGCAATGTATATTACTAATTGCTCAGTGTTTACTGGGCCCTTGGGGGACATCTGCTGGCTGCGCCACAAACACACGCTTATACTATTAAACTTGACATTTATTTGATTTAACCAATATTATTTATTTTTATTGACATATTTATATGAACAATTTCGTGCTGGGCAATCCAAAATAAAAGTTTTTGTTTAAATAATGTGTGACCCTGGAGCACAAATCCAGTCATGAGGGTCGATTTGTTTTTCTAAATTGAGATTTATACATCATCTGAAAGCTGAATAAATTTGCTTTACATAAAATAGCTTTCCATTGATGTATGGTTTGTTAGGATAGGACAATATTTGGCCGAGATACAACTGTTTGAAAATCTGGAATCTGAGGGTGCAAAAAAACCCCATCAAAATATTGAGAAAATCATCTTTAAAGTTGTCCAAATGAAGTTCTTAGCAATGTATATTACTAATCAAAAATTAAGTTTTGATATATTTATGGTAGGAAATTTACAAAATAGTTTAATGGAAAATGATCTTTACTTAATGTCCTAATGATTTTTGGCATAAAAGAAAAATCTATTATTTTGACCCATACAATGTATTTTTGGCTATTGCTACAAATATACCCCAGCGACTTAAGACTGATTTTGTGCTCCAGAGTCACATATATGCATGTATACTGTGTATATTTATTATGTATATATACGTATAAAGACACACATAGAGTATATATATAAAATATTTACATGTATATATGTATATTCATGTCATTTATATTATATATCCTCCTGACTGCCAGGGGAAAAAAAGTTTTGTGAATTTAGCATTTTTTTCATGTCATTACATTGTTTAGAACATAAGAAAAATGAAAATTTTGAAAATTTGTATTTTATTCATATTAATATATAAATATATTTTTCTTAAATATATACATGCATGTACATATTATATAAACACACATATATTATATAAACAAAAACTTTTATTTTGGATGCGATTAATTATTGCCCAGCACTAATTAATATGTTATATATTTTTTTTTATTTTTTAGCAGAGAATGGATATTACTCTTACTGGGCTTCAGTTGATGTAAAGAAATAGAAATATTTATATTAAGCTCTATTTCGGTGTAACTACATTTAGTCACATATATGCATGTATACTGTGTATATTTATTATGTATATATACGTATAAAGACACACATAGAGTATATATATAAAATATTTACATGTATATATGTATATTCATGTAATTTATATTATATATCCTCCTGACTGCCAGGGGAAAAAAAGTTTTGTGAATTTAGCATTTTTTTCATGTCATTACATTGTTTAGAACATAAGAAAAATGAAAATTTTGAAAATTTGTATTTTATTCATATTAATATATAAATATATTTTTCTTAAATATATACATGCATGTACATATTATATAAACACACATATATTATATAAACAAAAACTTTTATTTTGGATGCGATTAATTATTGCCCAGCACTAATTAATATGTTATATATATTTTTTTATTTTTTAGCAGAGAATGGATATTACTCTTACTGGGCTTCAGTTGATGTAAAGAAATAGAAATATTTATATTAAGCTCTATTTCGGTGTAACTACATTTAATAACATTAAATATAATGCAGTTTTGTTTTATTTTATTAAGATTTAAATAAAATATATGTAATTAAATATTCATTTATTTAAATAAATCTATCTATCTATCATTTTATGCAGATTGAAATATTTAATAACATTTTTATATAACCTTAAAATAAAACTGTATTTTATTAATTCAACAAAATGATATATATATATATATAGAATAAGCTGCTTTTTAAACTGTTGTACAAGGTTATTTGTTGAGCAGGCAATCAGGCAAAGAAAGAGTACAAGGAATTGTTTATTAGAAAAACAAAACATGATAATCTGACAATACATTTCATAACATAGCACAAAAAGGCAAACTAGATGATCAATTTGATCAGAATCCAAGCCAATGTGCTCACTTCTACATGAAAACAAAATGCAACAGTTTCCTTTTGTCAGTACTCATTTATCACAAACAATCTCTCGGTTAAATGAGAAATGTGTTGCTTAATATATTATACACTTTACGTAATCCAAACTGAACATATTTTACAATATGAATGTATAATGTAAAAACAAGCTCCTTTCCTCATTCTTGCTTGCAGTCATACTTTATCTGCTGAAACAGGATAAGAGAATACACTTACAGAAAGTAGCATGGTATTACCATGCTTTTCTGAACTAGATAATACCATGGTATTCCTACTCTGAAGTACAGCAACAATACCAGCACAGACAGGACAGGACAGGACAGGACAGTGGCTGTGCTCCCAAACACACTGGGGTTAAAGGTCCCCGACCCACCAGTGTATTCTCAAACCTTCAAATACTCATACTACCAACAAACAAGGTCACGCACATGCACAAACATGCGGGGAGAACTCTAGTCATCAGCAATTTGCTGTCATTAGCATAGCATAGAAGTGTTTTCAGTTATTGCTCACTGGTTGTGAATACCTAAAGGTAGAGAGATGTATTAGGAGTGGCAGAGATTCAATAATGACTATACTGATTGCATTAATAAAGGCACATAATACTGTGGGGTAATTTACAGTACTAGTTAAATGTTTACACACACCTGGCTGAATCTATGTTTCTCATGATCGCATGCTTTATGATTAAATGCTGGAAATGTGTTTTTAGACAAATATAAATTATTTTAGGATTTTCTGATTTTTTTAACAGTGCATAATTACAAGACTTCCATTTATGTAATTTTATAGATTAACAAAAAAAAAAAAAATAAATGAATAAATAAATACAACCCAGAATGAAACAAAATAATAAAATAAGCTGACGTTATAAAAAATGACAAATCTGATTAAAAATAAAATAATAAAATAGAATAACATTTGAAATAAAAATACAAAACAGAAAAACAAAATAAATAATAAAATAAGAGTGTAAAACATCCCATGATGCACTTCTAATAAATTAAAAAAAAAATGTTTTTGTCACTACATAATTCCATTCCATTTCCACTTCCATTATATAGTTTGGATGATTTTACTTTTGCTCTGAGTTTGGTGTGTCCAAACTTTTGACTAGTACTATGTGCAGCAGCAGTGCATGTGTTGGCAAAGCTAGGCTGGGAAGGCAGTAATAAAATGTAAACAAAATGACATTTGTTATAAAACAAAATAACAAAATATGACAAGTCAAAAAATCGAATCCAAAACAAAACAATAAAATAGAATAACATTTGCCGTTTTTGTCAGTACTAATTTGATATAAACTATAATTTAAAAAATTATTTAAATTTTATAAATTTTATTTTTAATATACATATATCATGTAAAACCGAGATCCTTACTTCATTCTTGCCTTTCATTTTTTTCCATGTTAAATACCAAAAAATAAAATAAAATAAATGTAGCAAAACTACATGGAGATATGCAAAGGATTAATTTATATAAATTAGTAATTTCTAACTAATAAGATCAGCCTCAGAAATAAAACGAAACAAACAAAAAAATAATAATAATTAAATCAATTTAAATAAAAAAATAATTATAATAATAATGACAGTTAAAAAATAAATAAATAAAATGCAAACAAAATGACATTTGTTATAAAACAAAATAACAAAACATGACAAGTCAAAAAAATCTAATCCAAAACAAAACAATAAAATAGAATAACATTTGCAAAAAAAAAACAAGAATTTTTTTTTTTAAATGCAGCCGTTTTTGTCAGTACTAATTTGATATAAACTATAATTAAAAAAAATTATTGAAATTTTATACATTTTATTTTTAATATAAATATATCATGTAAAACAGAGATCCGTCATTCTTGCTTTCCATTTTTTTTCCATGTTAAATACCAAACAAAACAATAAAATATATGTAGCAAAACTACATGGAGATATGCAAAGAATCAATTCATATACATTTGTAATTTCTAACTAATAAGATCAGCCTCAGTTTAGAACACACTTCCTCACCTCAGCCTTGACGATTCTGTCAATAACAGTTTCCAAAGTCTCGTCAGGGTAACATTTAATGACTCCTTCCACATAACAGCGTCTCCTCCGCACCGCCTCCAGCATGCTCATGCTCAGGTTATTGTAGGTTTTCTGCGCTGCAAGATTCTGCCAAAAGAAACGGTGGCAGTCAACTAAAACATCACTAAACAAGATACTGGTTACAAGTTCTCTCAATAAGCCAGTTCTGCCTTTAATGTCAGAAATTAAAAAAGGAGAAGAGATTCTCACAATCACGTCAAATCTGGAATACAGGGCGACCACCTTGCCTAGAAGAAAAAAAACGGAAGTTCAATATTCTGTTTGTGTCCTGTAACATGACTTATTTAGCTTGTTTGAGTACCATCGTCATCCACCACTGGGAGAGCGGAAACACGTCGCTCAACAAACACAGAAAGTGCATCGTACACAGTGGCCGTCTGTGAGACAGTCGCCACGTCTGTGAAAGTTCCTATTCCTGCATCTTTAACTTGCATCTTCAAGAAGCATGGCTTGGGCACTGAGGCTCCCTAAAGATGAAGAGGAAATATACACATTTATAAACATGCTGAACTGTAAAATCGTGAGTTCAAGTAAAACTAACAATTGGATTTATTCGTCTTACAAATATATGAAGGAACTTGAGGATTCTCTTATGGGTCAGTATGTGAAGGACATTTCCAGACTCTGGGTCAATGACTGGCAGCCTGTGGATTTTGTGTTTCAGTAAAGAGTAGACGGCGTCAAAGAGGCTGTGTACAGACAGAAAAAACATGACCACAAAACCAGTCATACGGGTCAATTTTTTGAAATTGAGATTTATACACACTGAATAAATAAGCTTTCCATTGATGTATGGTTTGTTCGGATAGGACAATATTTGGCCGAGATACAACTGTTTGAAAATCTGGAATCTGAGGGTGCAAAAAAAATCAAAATATTGAGAAAATCACCTTTAAATTTATTCAAATGAAGTTCTTAGCAATGCATATTACTAATCAAAAATGAAGTTTTGATATATTTACAGTAGGAAATGTACAACATATCTTCATGGAACATGATCTTTACTTTCCTAATGATTTTTGGCATAAAAGAAAAATCAATTTTGACAATGTATTTTTGGCTATTGCTACAAATATACCCCAGCAAATATTGAGAAAATCACCTTTAAAGTTATTCAAATGAAGTTCTTAGCAATGCATATTACTAATCAAAAATGAAGTTTTGATATATTTACAGTAGGAAATGTACAACATATCTTCATGGAACATGATCTTTACTTTCCTAATGATTTTTGGCATAAAAGAAAAATCAATTTTGACAATGTATTTTTGGCTATTGCTACAAATATACCCCAGCGACTTAAGACTGCTTTTGTGGTCCAGGGTCACATACATAAATACATATTATAAAATATATTATAAATACATACACTACTGTTTGTGTTTGAGCGGAGTAAGATTTTTTTATATATATATATATATATAGAGAGAGAGAGAGAGAGAGATTTTTTTCAGCAATGCATAATATTTATCAAAAGTGACAGTAAAGGCTTACTGTATAATGTTTCAAAAGTTTTCTATTTCAAATAAATGCAGCTCTTTTGAACTTTCTATTCATTACTGAATCCTGAAAAAAAAAAGTGAGAAATATTTCTTGAGGACAAAACATCATATTAGAATGATTTCTGAAGGATAATGTGACACTGATGATGCTGAAAATTCAGCTTTGCATCACAGGAATAAATGACATTTTAAAATATATTACACTAGAAAACTGTTGTTTTAAATTTTACTAATTTGATCAATTTTGAATTTACGAATTTTGATCAAATATGCAGTCTTTTTCTTCCAAAAACAAACAAAAAAATCTTACCAACCTCAAACTTTTGAATGGTAATCTAAATAGGAAAATCTATGTAGCATGTTCCTTATTCTTATGTATAACAATCATAAATGGCACCAGCAACCCTGACAACTATCCAGAAACTCAACTGCGCCAGTACGTTTAGCATAAACAATATTTTTCATACCTCGCATCCGGTGTGATACTGATGAGACATTGATCGTGATATTGCAGATAGACGTCTAACAGAAAGAGAGAAACACGGGAAAAAATCGAATCTAATTCGTTCATCTCAAATAACACTATGCAGTAAATTTGCCCTATAATCACACAATGACAGCTGCGTGAGATACACACACACATATATATATATATATATATATATATACACAGGCAGCCTGATAATGTTTCAATACTAAATATGTCAACCTAACATCTGTAATGTAAAGAATGCTTACTAAAAATTATATAGTCCATTTTAAGGAGCAATGCTATCATCTTTTTTTCTCTTTCACGAAGGAAACATGAGGGCAATTACACTATCACATTTGTCAAGGCCTTAAGTACTTATTTTTTTGATTCAGCGAAGCACTTTACATATTACATGCTTTAGTAAGTCAAACCCACTGTCTTTTAGGACTTTTATATTAGTGGCTGCGTATGACAACATCATCTGTGTAGTTCAGATTATTTATTTTGAAATGAATCACCTCTCCATGTCTCAATCTTGTGTTCCTCCAATTCATAGATCTGAACCTACAAGAGGAAGAAGGTAACTATAAAATACTAATGATACAGTTTAATGTATATATAAATATAGAATACTGTTCAAAAGTTTGGGGTCAGTCATATTTGTTAATGTTTTCAAAAAAGTATCTTATGCTCACCAAGGCTGCATTTATTGGATCAAATATACAGTAAAAACAGTACAATTCTGAAATATTATTGCAATTTAAAATAACTATTTTATATTTGAATATATTGTAAAATGTAATTTATTCCTGTGATGCAAAGCTGAATTTTCAGCATCATTACTCCAGTCTTCAGTGTCACATGATTCTTCCGAAATCATTATCATATTTGCTGCTCAAGAAACATTTCTTATTATTATCAATGCTGAATAGTTGTGCTGCTTAATATTTTGTGGAAATATGTTTGTGATACATTTTTCGGTTGCACTTTATTTTACAGTATGTGTATTTGCATGTACTTAAAAGTGTACTCATCTAAGAAAGTACTGGTGATATAAGGTAGCTACATGGGAAAAGGGTAGTTTCAGGGTTAGTACCTAGTTATTGTAATTACAAGTAAATAATAAGTACTTGAGGAACAGGACTGTAAAATAAAGTGCTACCCAGATTCTTTGATGAATAGAAATATTCGTAACATTATAAATGTCTTTACTTTAATGTATCATTACTGAAAAAATCTACAAATCTTACTGACCCCAACCTATTTAAAATTCTAGTTATTTTTTTTAATCTAAAACTCATACATTAAAAAAAAATATATTATTTGTTTTTATAATTATAGACATATAAATAAAATAAGTGAGGGGTAATTAGAAGACAGTATCTAGACTGACAATCTAGATTCTTTAATAGTCTTATTTTTTTTAAATTGGGAAATGTATTTAATTAAATTTTTTTAAATTGTTGCATAGTTGACTGATTTACAAATAAAAGGCTGAAAATATCAGGTTGAGGAAATTTGCATGAAATAGACTGAGGCCGAATACTATTTCAAGTCACTTAGTTATCATCTACCAAACGAAACAATATCTGTCTCATGCAGCATTATGTGGACAGTCAATGCAAAATCAATATGATTCAAACCACGAAGGACAACACAAGGTGATCATTAGAGAAGAGGCAGACAGTCATACGGGTCAATTTTTTGAAATTGAGATTTATACACACTGAATAAATAAGCTTTCCATTGATGTATGGTTTGTTAGGATAGGACAATATTTGGCCGAGATACAACTGTTTGAAAATCTGGAATCTGAGGGTGCAAAAAAAATCAAAATATTGAGAAAATCACCTTTAAAGTTATTCAAATGAAGTTCTTAGCAATGCATATTACTAATCAAAAATTACGTTTTGATATATTTACGTTAGGAAATTTACAGAATATCTTCATGGAACATGATATTTACTTAATATCCTAATGATTTTTGGCATAAAAAAATAGATAATTTTACAATGTATTTTTGGCTATTGCTACAAATATACCCCAGCGACTTAAGACTGCTTTTGTGGTCCAGGGTCACATACATAAATACATATTATAAAATATATTATAAATACATACACTACTGTTTGTGTTTGAGCGGAGTAAGATTTTTTTATATATATATATATATATAGAGAGAGAGAGAGAGAGAGATTTTTTTCAGCAATGCATAATATTTATCAAAAGTGACAGTAAAGGCTTACTGTATAATGTTTCAAAAGTTTTCTATTTCAAATAAATGCAGCTCTTTTGAACTTTCTATTCATTACTGAATCCTGAAAAAAAAAAGTGAGAAATATTTCTTGAGGACAAAACATCATATTAGAATGATTTCTGAAGGATAATGTGACACTGATGATGCTGAAAATTCAGCTTTGCATCACAGGAATAAATGACATTTTAAAATATATTACACTAGAAAACTGTTGTTTTAAATTTTACTAATTTGATCAATTTTGAATTTACGAATTTTGATCAAATATGCAGTCTTTTTCTTCCAAAAACAAACAAAAAAATCTTACCAACCTCAAACTTTTGAATGGTAATCTAAATAGGAAAATCTATGTAGCATGTTATATATAGAGAGAGAGAGAGAGAGATTTTTTTCAGCAATGCATAATATTTATCAAAAGTGACAGTAAAGGCTTACTGTATAATGTTTCAAAAGTTTTCTATTTCAAATAAATGCAGCTCTTTTGAACTTTCTATTCATTACTGAATCCTGAAAAAAAAAAGTGAGAAATATTTCTTGAGGACAAAACATCATATTAGAATGATTTCTGAAGGATAATGTGACACTGATGATGCTGAAAATTCAGCTTTGCATCACAGGAATAAATGACATTTTAAAATATATTACACTAGAAAACTGTTGTTTTAAATTGTAATAATATTTCACAATTTTACTAATTTGATCAATTTTGAATTTACGAATTTTGATCAAATATGCAGTCTTTTTCTTCCAAAAACAAACAAAAAAATCTTACCAACCTCAAACTTTTGAATGGTAATCTAAATAGGAAAATCTATGTAGCATGTTCCTTATTCTTATGTATAACAATCATAAATGGCACCAGCAACCCTGACAACTATCCAGAAACTCAACTGCGCCAGTACGTTTAGCATAAACAATATTTTTCATACCTCGCATCCGGTGTGATACTGATGAGACATTGATCATGATATTGCAGATAGACGTCTAACAGAAAGAGAGAAACACGGGAAAAAATCGAATCTAATTCGTTCATCTCAAATAACACTATGCAGTAAATTTGCCCTATAATCACACAATGACAGCTGCGTGAGATACACACACACATATATATATATATATATATATATATATATACACAGGCAGCCTGATAATGTTTCAATACTAAATATGTCAACCTAACATCTGTAATGTAAAGAATGCTTACTAAAAATTATATAGTCCATTTTAAGGAGCAATGCTATCATCTTTTTTTCTCTTTCACGAAGAAAACATGAGGGCAATTACACTATCACATTTGTCAAGGCCTTAAGTACTTATTTTTTTGATTCAGCGAAGCACTTTACATATTACATGCTTTAGTAAGTCAAACCCACTGTCTTTTAGGACTTTTATATTAGTGGCTGCGTATGACAACATCATCTGTGTAGTTCAGATTATTTATTTTGAAATGAATCACCTCTCCATGTCTCAATCTTGTGTTCCTCCAATTCATAGATCTGAACCTACAAGAGGAAGAAGGTAACTATAAAATACTAATGATACAGTTTAATGTATATATAAATATAGAATACTGTTCAAAAGTTTGGGGTCAGTCATATTTGTTAATGTTTTCAAAAAAGTATCTTATGCTCACCAAGGCTGCATTTATTGGATCAAATATACAGTAAAAACAGTACAATTCTGAAATATTATTGCAATTTAAAATAACTATTTTATATTTGAATATATTGTAAAATGTAATTTATTCCTGTGATGCAAAGCTGAATTTTCAGCATCATTACTCCAGTCTTCAGTGTCACATGATTCTTCCGAAATCATTATCATATTTGCTGCTCAAGAAACATTTCTTATTATTATCAATGCTGAATAGTTGTGCTGCTTAATATTTTGTGGAAATATGTTTGTGATACATTTTTTGGTTGCACTTTATTTTACAGTATGTGTATTTGCATGTACTTAAAAGTGTACTCATCTAAGAAAGTACTGGTGATATAAGGTAGCTACATGGGAAAAGGGTAGTTTCAGGGTTAGTACCTAGTTATTGTAATTACAAGTAAATAATAAGTACTTGAGGAACAGGACTGTAAAATAAAGTGCTACCCAGATTCTTTGATGAATAGAAATATTCGTAACATTATAAATGTCTTTACTTTAATGTATCATTACTGAAAAAATCTACAAATCTTACTGACCCCAACCTATTTAAAATTCTAGTTATTTTTTTTAATCTAAAACTCATACATTAAAAAAAAATATATTATTTGTTTTTATAATTATAGACATATAAATAAAATAAGTGAGGGGTAATTAGAAGACAGTATCTAGACTGACAATCTAGATTCTTTAATAGTCTTATTTTTTTTAAATTGGGAAATGTATTTAATTAAATTTTTTTAAATTGTTGCATAGTTGACTGATTTACAAATAAAAGGCTGAAAATATCAGGTTGAGGAAATTTGCATGAAATAGACTGAGGCCGAATACTATTTCAAGTCACTTAGTTATCATCTACCAAACGAAACAATATCTGTCTCATGCAGCATTATGTGGACAGTCAATGCAAAATCAATATGATTCAAACCACGAAGGACAACACAAGGTGATCATTAGAGAAGAGGCAGAGATCGCAACCCACCATGGGTGACCTGTAATACCGATGAAGAATATTGATGAAATCTGTGATTGTCAGCATACCTGGGGAAAAAGGCAAGGGAATGAAGGAACCAAGAGAACAAGTCATATAGATAAAAATAACATGCACACACTCTGATCAGTCTTACCCACAAATCTCTGCAGTTTGTTGTCCCATAAAGGGGCCGCTCTCAGGCCATTTGCAACCAAAGCAAAGAAGGCCTTCTTTACCTGCATCGATACAATAGATGTGTGTTCACCTCTTCGAAACAAATTTTTTTTCTAAATGAATTATAGTGGTCATTTTTAAATTATATTAAATGAAAACACTTTCTGTTACATCGAGGACAATTACTGCATCCCAACCTGCAGTGTGGTGTCAAAAATGACTAGTTTGCAGCTGGTGGGAATTGCATCATAACAACAGTGTTTCTTCATGAAGTCCATATAAGCTTCTGCATTTGGATCGGGGTCTGGAGAGACGTGAAACACACCAAACAACATAGAATATTTAAGTGCAATTATTTACAGGTACATACTCCAAAACAGACAATAACAAAGTACATACATGTGATTTGGTACAACAGTTCAGCAAATATATGTGTAATATAGTATAAAGTAAGATGTAACAGTAAGTAATATATTTACAGTAGTATAACATTTTTATAATAATTAACGACTAAGGCATTTTCTCGAGTCCACTTATGAGAATGATGGAAAAGATGCCCGCACCAAGATGGCGGCAACGTTGACGTACGATCCAGCGGCCAATGAGGCGTCAG